AATTGGAGATATGGCAGAGGTGGGAGCTAGGGAAAATTAGATCAGGCTCATGTGAGACTCGTTGCATTTCATTGAGTATAAAATCCAATTTCCACATTGATTGCACCTAAACAGTTTGGTTTTTTGGTAGACATTAAAAAGGTCAATGAAAACTCTAAGGGATTTAAGAGTTGCGGGAGCACTAACCATCACCTCCATTCATAAATAAACACAGTGAAAGATTTTACATCAGTTGAACGAGCTGCATCGTAGCTGCTGACAGCCTGAGAACCGGCACCCGCTGATCATCCTGGCCCAAACCTACGAATCCCCGACAATGTGATCAGAATAGAGAGACCAGCAGCAGCACAGAGAGCACAAATGAAATTCAGGGACCCGCCTGGCAGTATCCTGGCTTCCACCTCTCCTGGAGTCTGAGAGAGAAGGACTGGAGGATAAAGGAGGTCACAGGTGGCTTTGAGACTCAGTTCTGGAAGAATTTTCCTGGCCTATTTACTGTGTGGTTGCTTCTTTATTCAGCTTTCTTGGCTTTCCGTTTTCTTGTGCCTTCATTTAGCTCTTCTTTTGACTTGGCAGGAGGCGGCGGAGGATGGGAAACCTCATGGGAGGCCCCATGATGATCGTGATGGTGACTGCTGTGTCCACTGGAAACGGAGCCGAAGAAAACTGGACAGATGAAGTTTTCCACCGGAGCAAAAGGTGAGGCGTGAGAGTGAGTTGCCGTCATGAAAACCTGCCATGCAAAAGTGAATCCTCAGAGATCACATACGTCAGCTATGAAATATAAGCTAGGAAGGAGCATTCCACTTAGACCAGGTAGAAGTCCCTACTGCTACATGACTCAGCTGTAGCACAAGGATTTTCTCCCATACTTCTGATAGGAGGGACAATTTAGACTCTTAATTTCCTGAGCAAATCCCCTGATATGTACAGCCAATGCCTTCAGTAGTGGCTCGGGAAGGTGGACACCCCCAGTTGAAGTGTGTACCCTTTCTCTGGTTCTGTGGATTTGTTTGCAGTAGGCCTGCTGTTAACTTACCTTGCAAACTATCATGAACATGGTGAAAAAGAAGATGAGGTTGGCTTCAGAGATAGGGAGCCAGTGAGTCTGTTGCAGAGTGAAGAGGACTGTACCATACAGACTAGCCTTTGTAGGGCTACAAGAGAAATAAGTTGTCTAGGTTTGCATCCAGTCCTGAATGGTTCTTTAAATGCCATTTTTAGGCTGACAAGAGAATTTACAGGCTACCTACTTACAAGGACATACGAAGAATTTCATTTGTTTCTGGCTTCCAGACCCCACGGAGTAGTTGCTCAAAGTTAGACATCAAAGCAACACCAGAACCTGTGAAACAGTGAAAACGAACAGCTAGAACTGCCACAGCAGAGGAGAGCTCTGCTGTCTTTCTAGATCCCCAAGGGATGACAACCTAAAGGGAACAAATGATATTCTTCCCAAGATAGCCTAAACAGAGCAGGGCAAATGCTTTCTGGATGTGCCATAAAGTGTTACCTGATGAAAAAAGCATTTGCCTCTGTTGCATTTACTGAATCTCAAATGCTTGCTCCAAACACAAGCTAAAGGAAAACTGACTGGGCTGTTCAACATAATAGAACCCCCCTGAAGAGATATGTGTGAGGCCAGACAGTCAAACACATGAGAAAATAAGGAATTCCTGAATTCTACCCCCTTATTTCATAGTGACTCCAGTTCTTTATGCCTCCAATAAAGTCAGATGATGACTCAGCTGACAACCATTGTGCAAGGATGACTAAATACCTGTGTTCTAGGGAACATGATTGATGGGAGCCAGCTGACCACATCCACTAGCTGCTGGCCAGCACTGGGTGACGTGGTCACCTTCAGCCTCACTCACAGATTCTCCTGTCCCTCCCCGGAGGGCTGGGTGCATTTAGAGCATCTCATCTTTCACCTTTGACCCATCCAATAGCCATCATAATGAACCAGCCATGGTGGTAGTGGTGGTGAGCGTGGTGGACCCCAGCTGCGATCTTGCGAACTCTGACCACCTCCTTCATTGCCACAAAGATGAGCTTCACTGGCAGAAAGCTGACACACTTGTAGAAGAGGTTCATGGGACAGAAGAATATCAAATACCTGGAACAAAACCACAAAGAATGTGAGGACCAACTTGCTTGTCCTGATTTGAGATGTGCAGAGAGGATTGATGAGGTGTACTGTAGTGTTAGCCTGAATTATGTTGGGGAGAAGGAAGTGCTGGTTCTATCATGCAACCCAGATGCAGTGAGGAAATGAAACGTGGAGTAACTGTGGTTAATTTGTGCACATTTCACTAACGTGATGAATAAAATGCCCCCAGATTTCCAGCGTGTGCCACTCCTCTACTAAATGTGGTATCCGTAAGTGCGTGCTGCTTCTGCGGCAGCTATATATAGAAATGCCCAGTGGTTGGACTGGACCCAACCTGTATTATCGAAGCAGTAGACAGCCAGTCAGAGAAACTGGAAACTGGATCTAGGAATACAAAAGACTCAAAAGACTCCCTCACCCCACCTCTTCTTTCCCCACTTAATCCAAGGAAGCTTATACACGTGTGTCACACAAGCAGATGGGTTTGAACGCAGCCAGCAGCGTCGCGTGCTTAGTAAATGAGGTGGAGTGCAGAGACTCACCAGACTGCTGTGGCCAGGATGACACTGGAGTTGTTACTGAAGTAATCAATAGGTGATTCTCCAAGTAACAGATCAGCAAGAATGTAGCTTCCAAAGCAGTGGAGCATAGCACAAAGCCAGGAGGCAAAAGGGCTCTTGCGAGACATCTCCACAGCTCCTGTGAAGCAAAGGCTAAATGAGAAAGTAGATCCAGCAAGTAAGCAGAAACTTCAAGGCCGCCTAAGAAGGAGGCTTGTGGGGCATGTTCTCCAACAAACTAAGTAAAAGAAAAGGGCTTGTAAAATAAAATACAAAGATGTGTATTTGGTGAAACCTGAGCAAGTACCAGATACTGGCAAGAGATACATGTGATTGCAGCTTGCAGCCCCCCCCATGGGGTTTCAAGTGAACTGAGTCATTGGAAGTGTATGATTTGACTAAGAGTTTATCTCCTGGATTTGCTGCTACTTACTGCAATCAGAAAGGACATTTTCCCCTTGAAATCAGTGTCTTTGTACAGTCTAAAAGTAAGGTGAAACTAGTACCATTCTCTCCATTGCTTCAACCTAGGTGCCCTCTAGAATTCATGAGCAACCTGTTCAGCTCTTTCATTTATAAGATAACCTGTAAAAATAGAACAGTAATTCTTAATCTTCATTTGAAAGAGGCGGATTTGAGGATTCTTCCCTGCTCCTGTACTAGTTTGGAAACACCCTCTGAAAATACAACTAGATATTAAACTGTGACTATTTGGCAGTACATTATGTTCTTTTCCCACTGATATTTAATTCCTCTGTTTTCAGCCACCTCTGTACTTCTCCAAGGAAGTCTCTCAGGAACATCAGTTCCGTAAGACTGTTTCATCACCTTAAACTGTTCTGGAGTCCATCGTGCACCATTTCAGACACCAAGCTCTGTTCCGTAAGCCAGTGACAGGCAATTAAAAGAAAGAGCACTAAAATGTTCTGTCAGCATTACTGACCTTAATTAGCAGTATGCGAATCAGCATATGCTAAAACTATGACTGCTCGGACTCTTCCATCCTCAAAGACATTTGATCCAGCTGAAAACACAGTGGAAACAAGACAGCTGCAAGAGCTATGACATGAAGCTGGTTCTATAGGAACATGTAGGCTTAATTTAGTAACACTTGTTTTTCTTTGGCTCCACGGCCACGCTATCCCCAAGGAGGAACAGGGCCATTGCTGTCCTGACACCGATCTTCAGCAGAGGATCCGTGGGATGAAGCACTGTAGGAATCTAGTGAAAACAACACCCCAGCTTTACCCAGTCCAAGCGGATTACAGGGCTTACAGAGCTGTAAAAGCTGTTTTCATAAGGGCTGCCTGTTAACTGGTCCCTTCAGGACTTCACGCTGGCATTAAGTGATCAGGCCTTGAAAACCCAGCACTTGTGTTCACATGGAGCGTCAATAGAACCGAATATGGATTGTACAGCACAGAGCTCTCACAACCAGAGGATTGAAAACCCCTACCAAAGGGTGTTGTTGGAGGTTTTCCTCTCAGCCATCAGGCAGTTACACTGAGACCATTGAAACCAGCCTGAAGAGCGCACACGCTATCAAAACCACATGGAGAAGGCAGCATTTGGAAAACAGCAAGGCACAGCCGGGCTGCAGCAGGGCAGAAAGCGAAAGCTCAGGTTACAGCATGGTCTGGCAGGTGGAAAAACCCCACGGGTTTACTGACAACCTGCTTGTATATAAATAGGAGGAGGTATTGCCCCAGAAATAGAGAAGCCAAGCAGCGGGACACGGCCGTAACGCTAAATCCTGTTGCAGCAGCAGAGAAGTGACTGAACTTCCATAACTCAATGTGGCTGGGATCCAGCGTGAAATAAAAAGCACGATTGATTCTCAAAACTCACTCCTTCTTGGAGGTTTCTGCTTTACATTGAGACACGCGGGGCACCCCGGAAGCAGCAGCAGCACCAGGCCCTGACACCCAGGGCCCGGCTGGGGGGCATACTTCATGCCCCAAGCGTCAGGTTTATCCCAAGGGAAACAGGGCAGGAGCACTGCAGCTGCCCCCCCCCCGCAACGCGCACCTACAGCCCCATGGCACCCACCCCGGCCCGGCCCTCACGGACGGGGCCGCTGCCGCTCCTCCGGGAGCCTCCAAGGGCTCGGCTCCGCGCTCACCTGGCTCGTACTTGAGGTAGAGGACGGAGACGATGAAGTACGCGGTGTCGAAGAGCGGGAACACGGGCAGCGCCGCGAAGGCGGCCGCCAGCTCCCCGAGCGGCAGGGCCGCCGCCAGCTCCATGGCGCTGCGGTGCAAGGCCCAGGCGCCGCTCGCTTCCCCGCCGCCACCGGCGGCCGGTGTCCGGACGCGGAGCCTCCGCCCCGGTGCCACCCCTCCACCGAGCGGCAGCGCCCGCCCCTTCCGCTTCCGCCGCCAGAGCTGCCGCCATGATCGGGGACCTGCTGCTCTGCGGGTACCGGGCGCGGGGGGCCGGGCGCGGCCGGGCTGGGCCCGGTTGGGCCGCGCCTGACGCTCGGTCTCTGTCTCTCCCTTAGGACGCTGCTGGTGAACGCCGGGGCCGTGCTCAACTTCAGGCTGTGAGCGCAGAGGGAGGGAATACGGCAGGGAGGTGGCGGGGAGGGGGGGCTGTCAGCCTGCCTCACACCGGCGCTTCTCTCTGCAGGAGGAAGAGGGACACGGAGGGGTTCGGCGAGGAGGCGAGGGAACCCACGACCGGTAACGGAGGGGACGCGGGCGAGGGGCCTGGGTGTCCTCCCCCTGCTTCGGCGCCGCCTCTCTCGCCAGCGCTGGCTGCGTACAGGAGCGGGCGTTTCCCGAAGGGAATCCATGATCCCAACGTTTTCGAGGCGCTAAAGGCCAAGTTTAACCTCGTTTTCCTCGGATGCGAATTCCTCGGGGCCTGGAGTGCCTGGTTTATTAAACAACAGCCGACATTTTTCCTTGGCAATGCTTCCATAGAAACGTGTTGATCCCAGCCTGGGGACTGGAGAGGAAATGTACAAATTACACATTTCTGTTTGCATTGTTGTGCCACAGAGGCAGCCCCATTTCTGGGTTTTGGTGTCAGAAGTCGCAGGAAGGCTGTAAACTCCAGCAAAGGGCTAGCATCCCTTTGTAGCATAACCCCATTTTGTCACTTCGTGTTCCTTTTGCCACATGCCCTTACAGGGATGCACTGAACAGAGCACAGATCATCAATACAAAGCTTCCAGCTTCCAGGTCTTTGTTTGCCTGACCTTGTGCTGGGATTGCTGATGCTTTTCAGGTGGTGTTGAACACAGGACTTGGCAGTGTCTCAGGTATTTGTCACTCTTGATTTTTAGGTGACAACATCAGAGAGTTCCTGCTGAGTCTCAGGTATTTTCGAATCTTCATTGCCCTCTGGAATATCTTCATGATGTTCTGTATGATTGTGTAAGTAACACCGTGCAGCATTGTGCCATTCGTTTGGAGGAAGTCCTGTGTGCTAGATTTTTCTTGCATATAGATGTGTCTTTGGATCTCTTTCTCTGCCACTCTTGTTCCGTAATTCCTTTTCATTTCATTTATTTCACTCATTAAAGAGATGGCAGTTGACCTCACAGCTTTCTGCTAGTGCATGAAAACCTCTGCAGCATGGAAGTCATTTAGCCTTAGATACAGCGCTCTTTGTTGGGCGTTGCTTAGGTAAAACACCATTTAGGTCAGCATTTTGGGAAGGTTTTCATTTGGGGAGGGTGGAGGTGAACCCACCAAGTAATAGCATGGAATCAGCCTTGAGAAGAGTCTCTCAACAGGTTTTAGTCCCAGTAGTTCAGTTTAGTTCAGTTGTAGCTGGTTCTCATCTCCTCTTTCTTTTCTGTCCCATCCACTAGGTTATTTGGATCTTGAAGACCATCCACGAACCCATCTGTTGACTTGGAAGAGACTTTTGGCTGGGAACCATTTTTCTATGGAGTACAAGATGACGCTTTCCACACACAGCCCTGGACCGTGGCCTGGCCATGGGCGCGAGCTCCTCACGCGCTCACCCTCTCCAGCCCCTCCTGTACCGCGGTGTGTGCCCTCCGCTTCCAGCCGGCGGCTGAGCCTTGAGGCCCCTGGGCCAAAACCTTCACAATTGTTTCAACTTCACTGAAATAGAGAACTCAAGAGTCGTTTTGCTCAGCTTAGAGCAGGCAGGGGGAGAACTGGAGGGTCCTGAAACCCTGCAGGGTCAGTGGATGTGGCTCCTAATGTCACCCTTGTCCGTATCGCTTGCAAGCCACACTTCTCAAGCCTCTTAAGGTTGAGCATGGTGTTGGTGTCACTTCTCGCTACTCCAGTTTCGTTTGTTGGGAGAAATAGAGAAGGCTGATTGAAAACAATGGGATTCTCAACTTCCAGTTTGGGTTTTTTTCCAACAAAATACTTTTTAAATTAAAATTTCAAAGTGAAGATTTTTTTTTTTCTAAGCAATATGTAAGGGATAAATAGCAAAATAATTCTGTAAGCCAATGTGAAGGCATCAATTTTGGAAGTATCTTGGATTTGGTTGAATAAAGTTGCTTTATTTAAGGGTATTTACGTACTTGATGCCATGTTCATTGTGTTACAGGAGAAATCTATTTTGTACTGGTGGTTTGGGGGAAATTAACTCACCTCCTCATGGACTTTTGTGTTGGTTTTATTTAACTTAACGGTGTGCCAGCGCCTCAGCACCCTCAGAGCTCATCTCGGCCTCCCCTCGGGCAGGTTCAAGCCATTCCCCTTGGCCTGTCCCTGCAGCCCCGCCAGGAGCCATCGCTTGTGGCCGCGGTTCCAAGCCCAGACCCCGCACACTCAGAAGCACCGCGCGCCGAGAGGCGCCCGCGGAGCCGCTGACGGGCGGGGAGCTCCGGCCATGGGCCCCGGGGGCCGGCGCCCGTCTGCTCCCCACAGCGCGGCCACCGCCGCCATTGCCCGCCGCGCGCACTGCGCAGGCGCTCCCCGCAGAGGCCTCACCGCGCAGGCGCAGTCCGTGCCCGCCGGGGCGTCAGGGGCGCGCCGTGCGTGACGGCGTCGGGCGTATCCCAGGGTGCCCTGCGCGGGGCTGGCTCCTGCCCACAGTTGAGTTCGGCCCCGAGCGGAGCAGTCGGGCCCGCACCGGTCGCTCCCTCGCGGCCTCTCCCCGCGCCCCGCGCCGCCGCTCTCCCCCCCCCGCCTCGCGGGGAGCGAACATGCGACTCCGGCTCCCTGAGGAGGCCGCCGCCGGCGAGTGAGGAGCCGCCGCCCCGGCCCGGCCTGGCCCCGCCGCCCGCCCGCCCCGGCCGCAGCCGCCCCGCTTCGCCCAGGCAATGACAGCGGCTCCGGCCCCCTCCCCGCAGCAGATCAGGGACCGGCTGCTGCAGGCCATCGACCCGCAGAGCAACGTGAGTACAGACCGCGGGCCCCGGGGCTCCCGGGCCGGTAGCGCGGGGACGCCGCCGCCGTCCCCCTCCCCCTCTCCAACCGCCGCCCGGGGCTCTCCCGCCCCCCGCCGCTGTACGAGGCCGCCGGGGCCGCACGGCCGCCGGCACCGCTTCGCCTCCCGCCGGGACCGCGGCCGGCGCTTCCCCGGGCACCGGAAGCCTCCGCTGCGGGCGGTAGCGGGGAGCTCCCCGGTGCCCAGCCCGCAAGGGTCCCGCTGCCAGGGGCGCCTCGCTGCCCGCACCGGCCCGATCAGGGCACCGCAGGGCTGCCCCGGCGGTGCCACCGGAGGCCGCTTCCCTCCGCCCCGGGAGCCGCGTCCGCCGCGCCGCCTCCCGCCACCCCCCGGGGCCCGGCCGACGCTGCCCGGCCATGCGGCGTGCGGCCCGGCGGCCTCCCGACGCCAGGCCGCGGCCCGGGCGCGGCCTGCAGGGGGCTCTGGGCCGGGCTCCGCCGCGGATCGCCGGGACCTTCCGGGGCTCCCACCTGTTCCGCGGTGGGGCCTTGGGGAGCCCCGGGGCCGCCGGGAGGGCTTCAGCGGTGGCTTCGGGGCTCTGGAGCTGTTCCAGCACCGAGCAGCCTCGGTCTTCGCTTTTATCCGTCCCTGCAGCACGTTAAGGAGCTTATGTGCTCCTCCTGGGATGCAGCGTGAGCGCTGAAGTCGGCGTCTGTTTTACCTGTAAGTGGCCTTGACGTCCGAGGGGCTGTTATCCAACCGTTATTGCTCCTTGTAGGGGTGTTTTTGGCACATTCAAGCAGTTCTCCACTTGGGGTGTTTATTACTGTGAGAGCACTGCGGAGCCTGCGGTCTGTCCGGCTTTTGAATGTTGGCTCAGGAGTCACCCCAGCAGGATGCAAAGCTGGGTTTGTCTGGGCCGTCTGCATTTGTGGGGGCAGCTGCGGGTGAACGTGCACATGTACCTGTGTGTGTGTGTGTGTTATTCCAGGAGGCTGGGGATGTGAAATGGTGGCTTTGTCCTGTTAAAGTCATGCCTACTTCTGCCTGAAAAGCGGGGGTTGCGTTTGCTCTCAGTTCTCTTTTGGCAGCTGCAAATCTTTCACTGTGCCTTAGACCAAGTGTCTGCCTATTTAATAGAACTCAAAACAGCTCTGTGAGGCTTTTCCAGTTCAAAACCGTCAGCAGCAATGGTTCCCCCCGCCTGTGGCAGTACTCACTGAAACGCTGTGGCTGTGCGGCAGTAAGCAGCCAGGAGAAGCGGGTTTTGTGATGGGTGCTTTTCCCTTTCCCCACGAGTTCATGCTGTTACTCTGTGGAGGTGCTTGCGATGCGAAGGATCAAAAGTAACGAGTCAGCTGCCTGCAAGGGGAGGTTGGAGCATCAGCCAGCAGCTCTGCTGAGCTTCCCACTAGGTCAGTAGCCCCATAAGCTTAGGAGTAATGTATGTTCAATTCTAATTCTGCATACTTGATACTTATCCAGGGCAATAATTGGTGGCAGAAAAATCAGCCCATTGTTTAGCAGTGCCTGGAGGCAGGGGGCTGTCTTCCATGTTAACCTTTTCTTCGAGGGAGAGCAGAGGTGGTGGTGTGGAAATTCATGGCGCGGGCCTGGGCCTCGTGCATTTTCCTCCAGCGCACACAGTAAACCTTCAAACCGTTGCACTCTTCTGAAAGAGATTAAAAGGTGCATTTTGAACATGCTGAAAAGCAGAGTCTGAACTCAGTCACACTTGGGCAGCAGCATAAATGGGTAAGAAACTGTTCTGATATTTCCCTGCAGGGAGAAGTCATTGCAGCCATGAGCTGCTGTGCTTGTGGGTACCCAGGGAAAACTGGCTACGTTCTTCTGACTATTAGAATCTTCTCCTAAAAGAAGTGGTTGTATTCAAACTTAGAGTCTTTATCATTGTGGTTCCCTTCCTTGCTTACCAGGAAAGTCAAGCTTTGAGGCCTGGATTTCATTCAGGCTTTTAACTCTTGGCGTGTTTATGTCCGTGTTTCTGGAGAGGGTGAAAACTGCACTGATGTTGTCAGGCGTGCAAAAACTGGTCCAGTTCCATGGGTCTGAGGAGATGGCTCTTTATAGTGCTTTGTTGTGGGGTCTGTGTTGAGTTGAACTGGGCTAAATCGCTTCTTTCCCCAAGTTCTAGGGCCCTGCTTGCTTGGAGAAATCCCATTCTGTGATTGTTCATCCTTATCAGCTCCATGGAGCCATGCTGACTCAGGAGCAGTGGTTTCATTGGACACACACATTTAGGACTGAGACCTCTTCGAGTAATTGCTGCAGAAGATATTTATGACTTGGTTTGCCACCCTTAGTGCAGCATTTGCACGGGTAACCTCTATTGCAAAGGAGACCTGTAAGAAATAAGCTATTTTGAACAAATTACATCATCTTGGAAGCCACCCGGGATGCCTGCTGTTATGTCTTCATTTATTCAGCCTTTTCCCCTTGAAAAACCATCAGGACAAGCCACTTCTGCTCCGTGACTTAAACTGAGTATCAACATCAACTTCCTTCCATTGCTCGTGCGTTAGTACTGAGCAAAGTGGGAGTTCAGTGGTGGCACCACTGCCACGGGTGATGTGGTTTTCCGGCAGGAGAATCCTTCTGGAAGAGCCGTGTAGAAACAGTAACTGGAGAAGAGTGTCCAAGACCTGACTGTAGCAGCTGGGAGGCCGATCTGGGCAGATACTCCTTGGTTCTGATAGAAGCAGCACTTCTGTCAGACTCAGTGTGCTGAGAAACCCCCCCTTCTGCTGAGCAGAACAACACCTTTGCCTTATTAAATTGTGCTCTTCAGGGAATTGATTACCTGATGTCCGGACTAATGAGATCCCTGTTTTGGCTCGCTGGGAAAACCTGTTGTTTCCTACTGGCTGTTGGAATCGTGCTTGCAATTAAATGGGTCCTCACCCTGAAGATGTAGCAGTCTTTTCCTCGGTTTGAAGATTAGACAATGATTTACTGCTTTGCCATTAATAGCTCTCTGCCATGCAAACCCAGCTTTGGTTCGAGTAACAACCCACGGTATGCTCCCCGTGTGGTTGGGGCAGGGTGTGAATCAGGCTGCCATTCACACAGTATCTCACTTGGGTTTGCTGCTCAGGCCTTCAGGAGAGCTCTGAGGGACACATTGTTAATAAGAAATCAGGCCTTGGGGTTGTAACTGGATGATCTTTAAGGTCCCTTCCACCCCAGACCATTCTGTGGTTCTATGTAGTGCGTTGACCTGGAATGGTCTTCCAGTTGGTGCATGGTTTGGCTAGTTAAAGATGCTTCCACGGCTGTTTTCTGTCTTGATTGCTTTACCAACATCTAGAAACAAAAGCCTCCATCATCATGGATAAATGCACCTCCTAGAAGTGAGTTTGCTTCAGGAGGGTGCTGGTGATTTCTTGGATGCAGGGAAGTGTTATGTGTGGGCGAAAGACTAGGAATGGCTTTTGCTTTAGCTTTATCCTTTTCTGTGCGGCCTTAATAAGCTTACTGGTTTTGAGGAAGCTGCAGTGTGCAGAGAGGCTGGAACCTGGCTGATCTCTCTCTGGTTTTGTTCATTTCCTTAATGTAGCTTGTCTTGTTCCAAGTACTGTTGTAGTTTGTTCATTGGGGCAATGGAAGGGGGGTTGTGGCATTCCCTAATGTGTAGGGTCTGAAGCATTGTTACTGTGTCAGTTTGGGGTTCTGGATAAGGGGTTAGGGCTGATGTAGTCAGTCTCATTGTATTGAGTTTCTTCATCATTTCAGATACCCTTACCTGAGGAGGGCTGCTTCATAGAGACAGACCCGGTCTGGCTGTCAGGTTCAGTGCCTGTCTAGCCCTGGTCAGTTTGGGGTTGGTGATAACACAGCCGACTACTACTTGAGAGCTTTTCTTCTCTTGTTTCAGACTTCTCATTTGCCCAGTGCCCTCTCATTTGCAGTAACCAGCCCATGAGAAAGTGTGAGGCTGCCAGGACAAAATCAGAGCTAACAAAGGTAGCAGGACTTTGCATCCAGGGGTCAAAGCAAGGGGAATGCCAAATTGCCTTTCTATTGTTAATTCCTTGAAACTGCCCAGGTTGCAGTGGTGATGGCAGTAGTCATTTGCTCTGGAGCTGTAATTTGAGTGTTTGTTTCAGCAGCAGTGACAATTTAAATAACACCCACTTCTGATGCCCTCTCCACACCCATTTTATGTGTGCGCTGCAGCTGTTTGCAGGATCAGGTGGTGAACTGAACAGGGGAATTGATCAGAGCTTAGGAAGGAAAAGGCAATATGTATCGTTTCATGTAGCTCAATTACCTGATAAACCTTCTGTGATGCAGTAATGGAGGGCCTTGGCCTGTGTTCCTGGGATAAATGCTGGGGAAGTTCTTTATGGATAGCTCCGGAGTAGTAACTGATGAGTGAGCTTTGCAGGTGAAGAGTGAACCACCTCGTGGTGTGGCTGATGCTCCACATCATCACAAACGGAACTGATTTGGCTCCAGCCACGGTTTGAGAGGTCCAGACCTAGGAGAGAAACTCCAGTTTGGCCTTTTGGGTTTTGCGCAGGGGTTGAGGGTGAGCCTGACCCCTAACCTGTTGGTTGTTGCCTCTTGAGGGTTTTTGGTACAGCAAACCACACAACAGCGCTGTCATCCCGGCGCCTTTGGCTCCTTATCTAAGTGGTGTCAGAGCAGCTTTTTCTCCCAGTATCCTGTGTGGGGAAATCCCTTCCCAGTTTCTTCCAGGAGCAGCTGCAGTTGACAAGTTACCTTTTTTCAGCAGCCATGGAAGTGTCAGGATAGGGACAGAGGAATCGATTCTGCCTGCTGTGGAAACAGAATGTTAAGTAAGAAGCACTTCTTTTAAGGCATAGGTACTCCAATATGTTAGATTGGGACTTAAAATGAATGTCAGTGTAGTTTTTATACAGTAAACCCCCCATGTCTGTTTTGGCTGATAAGGCTGCGCTCCTATCTCAGCTCACCCATTTTGTGCCTGGTGATAACTTCAAATAAACTATGTTGGGTAGT